GATGACGGACAGCTCAGGAAATATTGCTCTTGACCATTCAAACCCCATTGTTGCTGGGCAGACCTTCTTGACTCGTACAGGTGCATGAGAAGGAAAAAACCATCCGCCTACAGGGCATTGAACAGGCCGTCGTACATCGCTAAGTGCGATCACCTCTCAACCAGCCCGTCTTGGAACGCGAGTTCCTCCAGCAATGCCCTCGAAGTTCCTTACGCGGATTCCGTTATGCATGAACCCCAGGATTTTTCCGTGAAAGAATCCCAACATTTCTGCTCTGTATACTTATATGCCGTTTGAAGGAACCACCCATGCATACCTCCTTCCCTCAAGCATAGCACTTAGCCTGAGTGCCCTTTCCTAGAGGACGACTTCAAGACACGGTAAACTTGGTTTCAGATAGAATCGCTCGAAAAAAGGGTCCTAAATCACTAGAGTCATTGTCCTCCCATAATCCAAGTACACAACTACGGGAACTACGAACCTCAACACCTCATTCTGACGATTTAGGCACCTGTATTATCTTTGGGGGCGAGGGATGGTCCCCAACTCCTCGAATGCAGCCACATGCGAGTTGTTCCAGGTCAAAGCTCGAATAGCTCGCCAGAGTGGGATGCCTTGGGCTGAGCTTTCTATAACCGTGACTTACTGAGGGTTAGTAGGGAACAGGGGAATAGATTTGTTTGTTTTTTTTTTGGATTATTTTCCCTTTCCCCATTAAGAACCAGCAAGGATTCGTAGTAGAGGCATTGAACTCTTTTGAATGATATCCACAAGGTCGAGATGGGAACCTGTTAGGAGAAAGGCCCCAAATCCAAAGATGGGACACGTAGGTCTCGAAGACATCGCGCGGCACGTGCGGAACACATTTCGGGGCCCCCAACTGCTAAGGACTCTCCTCTCCCGTCTCTCCTCTGCCTACTCTCTCCACACTCCGCTCTCTTCCCATCTCTTCTCTCATCATTCTCCTCTCTCTCGTCTCTCTCCCTCTCCACTCTCTCTCCTCGTCTCTCTCCCTCTCCACTCTCTCTCCTCTCTCTCTCCCTCTCCTCTGTCTCTCCCTCTCCTCTCTCTCCTCTCTCTCCTCTCTCTCCTTTCCTCCACTCCACTCCTCCACTCCCCGCTCTCGACTCCTTCTCACTCTCCTCTTCACACTCTCCGCTCCTGCTCCTCTCCAGCACTCTTGTCTACAATTCCTTTCCACCTCTTTCCACTTCTCCCCCCTCTTGCTCTCTCTCTCTCTCTCTCTCTCTCGCTTCACTTCCTCCCTTTCCTTTTTCCGACTCCTCTCGACTCAACACAAGGGCCGCTCTGTAGTTTCACCTGGTGGTAGGCCCTTGTTGCGGCAGCAAAGTCCAAACAAAAAGACTGTCCGCAAACTCGTCCCCGATGACGTCCTTGGTTGGTTTTGCAAGCGCCGCCGTGGCCACCACGACCAGTCTGGATCCCCTTCCACTCCTCTCTAGCAGTCTCTCCACCTCTCCACTCCCCACTTCCCCGCCTTCCTCAAGGTGGCTTCAGCCCGCGCGCCTTTCTGAGAGCGTGCAACGACTACAAGGAACCAATGACGAGAAATGGACCTCCAGTGATGCTGATGTTGCCTGCCCGCCCTCATCATCAGCATCATTGGGATCCATTTCTCCATTTTGTGGCCTGGACCCCCAAAATTCTCCAACAATCCCTCCGTGGCTGTGGCGCGGGGAGAACCCTTTGGAGCGCACGTTGATTTCAAGCTCTTCCGGGGGTGGGGGTCCGGAGGGCCCTCTTGAGGAAGCAGAGGTTCGATGATGCGGGGTTCGCGTATACCAAAGCTGGACCAAGCACAAGTGGGCTTGCCAGATTGAGGGGCTGACAACGCCAGAGCGCAGATTGCGTACAGATAGGAATAGCAATAGTAGTAGTATCAGCAGGAAGAGCAAGAAATTACTACTAATGGTAGTAATGGTGGTAACACAAGGTTTTACTTTGTGAAGGCCCAGGCCATGATCGCGGCATGCTCGCGTCCGCCCAGCGCGCGCGGCGCGTTCCACCAGAATGCCTGAATGCCTCGTTTCCTCGAGAGCGCCTGGGCAGACTAGAAAGCCTCAAAAGTAAAGTGGACCCCACTGCTCGCAGAAATCTACGCTTTTCTCAGCTCCAGCCAGGGATCAGCCTTGGGGCTGGGGTCATAAACTCAACAATCCATCCGTAGCAGGAGGGAAGCTTCAGGAGCGTGTGGTGATGTCAGGCTGCCTTCGGAATGGGGTCTCTCGGGTCCTCTTCAAAAAATGGAGGTCCAATGATGCAGGGTCGGTGGCCCCGTAACCACTGCATATAGTCCGGCCTGGCCGTCATGGTCCAGTGCGGATGCACGCCTAGCAAAGCTATGCTTATACGGGGTGCAAGGGAGGTCCTGGAGGCGTGTTTTTTTGGGGTTAAAGATTAAGGTGATTTTGGGCTGCGTTTTTGAGGCTTCCCCCAGTGGTACGGAAGGTTTTGGGCAAGTTTTTTTTGGGTACAATTGGGCCTTCCTTTGTCATTTTTGGCCACCTCAACATATCTAGGGTTTGGAGGGGTCTTGAAGCCTCATATGTGTGGTGTCAAGAGGGCAATTGGGGGCCCAAACAGGCCCCATGATGCTCATGATGCTGGCTTGGGGGGCTGCAGGGCGCTTAAACTGCGCCATAAACCCCAACAAAACGCTCAAAAGATACGCTGTGGGCAGTTATTGTGGCTGTAAATACCAGTGTTGGTAGGATTGCACTGTATGGCGTGCATTGCCCAGGCCAAACCCTATAAAATGTGCATGTTGCATAGTTGTTGGGTGTGTTTTGCCCATATTTCCAGCACTTTTGTAGCTCCTAAGCTTGTCCAATGCGTGAAATGTGGCTGCTATGGCTATGGGAAGCTGACTTGCCAAAAAATGCACTTGTGGGCTAGAACATGGTCAGCCTGCACAGAGAGACATGTCTAAAGTCATCTTTGAGGCTTGCTTTGGGTTTTTGACCCCTCCTAGTCCCAATCAAGCCAAAACTGGGTCCCAATCGCGCGTGCGCGCGCCTCGTACACGAACATCATCGGCACAATTGGGAATTGGGACCTCATTTTGGGCCGCTTTCAGTTAAACTAGAGAGAACAGATCTTCAAAATCTAAAAACTTCCAAGGTAACAAGAACATCACTTTTTCGTGCACTTCTCTCAATCAGGAGTATCAGCAGGGCTGTGGTGGGCTTGGCTTTCACTTGATAGCTGGGTGGGCAAGGGGGGCAGCGGCCAGGCCGGCACGTGCCGCCGCCAGGCCCTAAATAAAGCTATGGCTACTTTGCGGGGCGTTGCCCGACAACAGGATTTCCCAGAGCTAAAGCATGCGTGGCAATAGATGAAGGTCATGCGTGTTCAATTTAAAAAAATGGAGAACGGTTGCAAGGGTTATCAACATGAAAGGAACTGATGAACCTCCTGGAGGATTCAGCGTGGGGAAACTTACGAGCTTTCGACTGACAGCCTGAACGCCTCTGGGTTGGCGGCATGAATCCGAGGCTTTTTGTCTACAAATTCCATAGGAAGAGAAGCAGGTGCTGTCGACGAATGATCGTTTGCAACAAGCCTGGCACATGCTGTCGCAAGACGCAGTTTTGGAGTGGCTTCCGCATCTCGTACAGAAGAAGCTCTCGTAGACAGAGCTTGCAGCTTGGGTCGGGCTTTCCCCTTGCAGCAAAGACAAGGTTTCTTCTTGTGCGTCTAGAATCGCGCTGAAAATCAGAATTCCCATGCTGAAATGTGCTAAGACAAATTAATCTCGTGCATCAGCGTACACTTCTTGTTTGCTTTGCCTGGACTGAATTTTTTGACAAAATGCGAGGGATGTGTCATCCCCCCACAAGTAGTATCCATCCTCCTAGAAGTTGGCCTGAAATCCCCGCCCAAAACCTGCAATGGTTCTGCGTTAAGGTCAAGGTTTGATGAGATACTGCGTGCTTGTGAGACATTCCCTTGAGCTGTTATGAGGCCTGCAGTTAAGGATGCTGAAGCTCTTCAGGCCCTCTCTTTGTTATTCTGGTCCCGCATGAGTTTTTCACACACATTTTGCGGATTTTATGTTGGCTTCGGACTTCCCAAGCCTCAACCTGGGACCAGAGGCGTCGCTGCCGTGGACACGCAGCCGTCGTGCCAAGCTTGCAGTTTGAGATGAGACAGGGGCCGAAGACAAAACAGGGTTTGCAAGAACTCGTGCTACAGTTCTTTTGGGATGCAGACACCCAACTTTTCCGTTATGTCATGCCATTTTGCCGAATGCCCGCTGTATGCGGGCACACCAGAGGAAAATCGTCTGCACTTGCATGGCATGTGCTGTAGGCGCGCCATCCATCTTGGAACATGTAATGGTCACATTCCAGACTGAGCTTACATCACAACAGCAGAGCTTCGGCTGTGAGAGTATGAAATTTATGGTGGAGTTGAGAATACTTCCAGGAGTCCAGATGCAACGAGCACGAGTTGGAAACCCTTGATGTTCAAACTCCCATATTTTCAAAGGTCTGCGCATTCTCTGCGCTTTTGGACTTTCTGCTTCGGTGGTCGTGGTCATTCTGCAGGGAGCCTTAGTGAGACATCGTGGTAACGTGGCCGCGTGAAGGATCCACAAGGTGCCTTTAGCCCTCCTAGGGTAACGGACTCATTGTAGTTTGAAGCATCTCAAATACAGCAGGGCTATCCCAAATAGTATGGAACCCACTGCCGGTACACAAGCTAGCACCTTCTGACACTGCGAGCAAATAGTCTCTTCCATTTGACGACAGTGAACTGCGAGAGGAGCTGGAGTTATTGAAATGCGGTCATGCTAGACAGGTGCTTCAGTTCCTTGTTTTTGCGGATCCCTGCCAAGGTCTAGTAATGGGGATTGTACTGATAGCTTTAAGGTCAGAAGTGGGAATCTCAGAAATTTGGGAGTAGGCGTAAGCTACGGAGAGGCCTGAATCAGTTTAGAAAGAGCTGCTGCCGCTGGTGCTGCTGCTGCAGCTGCCATGACCACGGCAAATGCTGCCAATGTTGGTATTTCTTAGCTCTCTAAGCACGTTTCCCTCTCAGTTCTCTGAGGTTTATGCTGCGAGGGTCCCGATTGGCTGGAGTCTTACTCATGCCTCTGTGCCTGGTGAGGGGGGATTCTTATTTAGAAGAGCTTTCTTTGGCTTCCTATGCTTACTACTAGTACAGATCGTATAGGCTCAGAAACTTCTCTACTTTCAATCCCGCTCTGTTGGTCAGTCCATTGGCTAGGCAGTAGTAAATACCGCCCCGAGTTAGACTCTACCAAAATTGGACCATGTCCTGGCTTTAACAGGGGGTTTGTTTGTTTGCGAATTTTGCAAAGGCGCCCGGCAGCCATGCAGCAGCTGCAGCAGCTGCTCCCATCGGCGAAGGTCTGGTGGGCCTGTCAGCTGTACCCAAAGCAAGCGTGGAATTCACGACCATTCGAGATGATGAAGTGGACTCCTCAGCTGTTCCGAAAGCATCCATTGTCACGGACATGAAGAAGAAAGAGAAGAAAGAAGATGCTCCTCGGCTTGCGTGAAAGTCCAGCTGTCCATTGTGCCATTGTGACGAAGCGCGGATAGAATGATCAAGGATTGTCTTGAAGGTTCTGGCGCTGCATGGGGGTACTCTTGTGCTGAGGGTATCCATGGAGTCATGAGACGGGCTGTGCAAACATGCTATGCTGACAAACGCCGAGTTGCGAGACATGTAGCGTCACCTGGCCATGAAGGACTAATGACGATAAACTCTTTGGGTGGCCAAACTCCATGATCGACCCCAAGGCTTGCAAAATGGTTTTGATGCAGTCGTAAAAGGTACCTGAGCCGGCCTTTGAACTGGTCACAGGGCTTTGAAGCAAGGGTTCATGGTCACGCCGAACACCATCCTCACCCCCATCAATCTACACCCTGCACCCGCTGGCACGCAGAGTTTTTTTGACACCTGAGGCTCCCAAGACAGCTGCGATGCGCAATCTGGGATTGAACGAGCTGCGCCTCCCCACTGTGGAAGAGGCAGTCGGATTCACCTCATTCTGAAGCAGTGCGTGGCAGGCAATTAGAGCTCAGAACTTCTTGTGCGCTATGCTGAGAAGTATTTGCTTGCCCAAGTCGACTTCATGGCGAGTCCCCACTCACGTCTGCAGCAGCCGCCGGGTGTGCAAGTCTGTCACAAGCGGTTGCTTCCAAAAAATAGACAGCACCGGAAGTGTATACTATGAGCCTCTATATTTTGGGCATACCTTCATTTGCTGCTGCGCAGGAAGTTATTGACGAGTTTCATCCAGCAGTTTGCGCGGGCCAGTCACTCCAGGCTGCTATTACTCTGGCAGGCCTCAGTATCAAGGCAGGGTTTGCTGTCAGGGCTGCGGGCGACACGGGATGTGATTCGGACCTAAGGCAGGCTTAATTTTCACAGGGTGGCGAAGTGTGGCCCTCAACCCTCATCCTTTTGTCATTAGCTATTGATATATCCTATTGAGTCCCTGGTAGAAGAGTATGTGACATTAAGTAGTACTGTAGCCCGATAAGAAGAATTGTCGTGTGCACGAAGAGATCTTTCAGTCACAGCTGACAGCTGCAGAGGTGGGCGCTGCCATGCGCGAATGCAACCAGTGGTTCTACAGGCGGCTTTGGGGAAGCAAGGGTAGTTTCCCAAGTCAGAGGAGATATGATATGACTGAGTTGAAGCATAGCTTTCCGCAGATCAGCACCGGGCTCCGTCAAAAAGCCTCCGACAGCCAGACTGCAACAGGTGAGGGGGTCCCAACCTGCGAGCAAGATTAGGGGCGACCAAGTGGGTGTTGCCCGACTTGAGAGCGTCCATCGGAAGGCATGCAACTGGAACAGCTGTGAGTTCCTTGTCGTAGGCTAGCACGGAAAGACGGCAGAAGGAAGGTGGCGAGGGGGGAGCAGTCACTTCTAGACACCAAGGCAAGCCTCCTTGTGCGCAAAGTCGTAAAAGCACGATTCACGCACCAAGCCCGATTCAAGCACTATGACTACGATTCAAGCACCGCCAACTCGAGCACAGCCGATTCAAGCACTGCCGATTCAGGAACTACCCGATTCACGCACCAGCGATTCATGCACCAAAAGCACCAAAGCGAGCCGCTTCACCAAAGGCCGTCGTTTCAAGCATTGCACCAAGTCACAACAATTCCAGCACTTCCACAGCCCCATAGGTTTTTGGATTTATATAGGGATAATGGAAAAGAAAATGGAAACTGCTATTTAGGGTTTAGGGCTTTCTCCTTATGTTTCACGTTCTCGAGGGTTTAGGGCTTAGGTTTAGGGTTGGGAACGTTTGGGAGTGTTCCTTAGGGTTTGGAGTGCCTAGCGTGCGGGTTTAAGATTCAGGGGTTGGGGTTCAAGGTTAGGGCTTAGGGTTTGGCAGTGTTTAGGGTTAGGTTTGGGGATGTTTCTAGGGTTTAGGGCTTAGGGTTTGGAATTTGGGGACTAGGGTTTGTCAATTTGTGTGTGTTCAGGGTTTGGGCTTGGGGGTGGCTTTCGTTCGCTGGTGGAGTTGTAGGGCCGAGGGCTTCGGAGAGGTCAGGGTGTGGGTTTTGGGGTTTAGAGTCTCGGCTTAGGGCTTAGGGTTGGAGGTTTAGGGTTCAGGGTAGGGGTTTAGGGCTAGGGTTTGGGAGTGTTTAGGTTTTAGGGTTGGGGGGGTCCAGGTGGGGGTGTTCAGGGTTTGGGGTTTCCTGTTCATGCTTCAGGGTTTTGTGCTGGTGGGAGTTTGGGGTTTAGGGTTTACCGGTGTAGGGTTTCGAGCTTAAGCCTTCAGAGTGTTCAGGGGGGTGATCTGTTTGTAGGATTCACAGGGCTTAGGGTTTGCAAGGGTTTCGGAGTTTAGGGTTTAGAGTGTAAGGTGTTTTTGTTCAGGATTTGTGGGTGTTTCCGGTTCGGGGCTGGGGGTAAACTTTAGGGTTTGGGTGTTTGGGGTTTCAGCGTTTGAGTGTCCTTACGAATTAGGGTTTTGGATGTTCCTGTGCGGTTTCCTACTACCGCCACAACCTGACCATCGTGGCCCGCCCACGCCGGCCTAGGCGTGAGTCCTGTAGCTTGAATCTGTCGGTTTGGTGCGCGAATCGTCCTTTCTTGTTGTGCTGGGATCGGTTCCCGTGCCAGTGCGCCAATCCTTGGTGCGCGAGTCCTTGGAGCGCGAATTCGACAGGGCAGTGCTCGAATCCGCCCTTTTTCGGTGCTCGAATCGGTTTCCAACCGTGCAAAGTTCTAGCTTAGCATGAGGACCATGCTGTATCCAGCTGAAGGAGGCAAGGTTGGTATGAACAGACAAGAAAGATACAATCCATGCATGGGTCCGGCATCTGAAATTGAAATGCGCGTTCAGCTGACGATTGTGGGATCCGAAATTGAGTTAAGATTTCTGAAATCCTCAGAAGCTCCAAGGCAAGTCGTACAGATTTTCAGTGAGCCACAAGAGAAGAACACTGATGTGTCCTGATGGGACTTGCATGCATGATGGCTGAACATAAAACACGCGAAGGACTTGCGAGTGAATCAGTAAAGCTAATCTCTTTTTTTTGCTGCTCATTTTCATGATCACCAGTGATGCTGTCCGCTTGCATTTTCTCATACAGTGATTTGCCATTGTAAAAGCCCCTGCTGTGGTCAATTCTTTGGTCCTTTGAGACTGTACCTAGTCGCCGGGTGAGAAACCTCTCAACCTGGCTCATGCAGGCCGCCGTACGCTGACATCAAAAACCTCACCACCGGCAAGACGGTGCAAATCGACGAAGGCAGGGCAGCAGATGCTACAGGTTTGCTTTGTAAGCACAGCTCCGAACAGTGCGTGACCTGATTCACCCTCTCTGCATAATGAGACATACCGACATGCCTTCTCTGTTGCACAAGTTCTTGTCCGAGCATCGGCCGCCTGTGCGATCATCACAGAGTTTCTTGGCGAAGGCGTGCCAGCTATCAGAAATGGGCGTCGCCTGAAGCTGAAGGACGTCGCCTGTCCAGGGGCTTTGATGTCCTCTCGTGGTGTATTCCTCCCAGCGACTGCGATGCCTGCAAGGACCGCAAAAGGCATCCACTGCTGCGCATGGAGGCCCACCCCATGGCCTGCCGAAGCACTGTAATTAGGGTTACGTAAGCCACTAACGAGCTAACGTGCTCGAGATGCCAAGTTTCAGAAAAGGATTTGCGATGTCAGCTTAGGGATTGAAGGAAGGCAGCAATATTCAAAGGTCCAAGTGCAGCAGCGCTGCGTAGAGAGATCTTCGGCTAGGATGGTCAAGATCCAACGGTCAGGCTGAAAGCAGATCAAAATTTTATTAGTTAGGAGCCATAGTCCAAACTCCCCTTAAAAGGGTGTATATAGGGGATTCCATAAGGGAGTAGTATCTTCGTATCACGTTAGGGTCTGTGGCCTCCTCGATTTCCTCACCCAACAGATCTGGGGGTTTCCCAAAAGTAGGGGTACCCTGTGGGTCCCAATAATAAGGATTATCGTATATACTATATATTGGATCCCTGTATCAAGGGAAACTACCATCTCATTGCCCAACTACAAGGTTCAGTGACTGAATCAAACCCTGGGCGAGATCAAGGATCCAATATTAGTCTACTTATTGCATTAGTAAGCCTAGTCGAATTTGTATATCAAAACTCTAGTCCAGTAAGGCAAATGTTGCTTGTGAAGTTCAGGCTACTGGGGACCCAAATTGAAAAGCGGGTGGTGAACAGTTAGTGCATATCTGCATAACTGTCACAACCATGGCAGGCGGAACGCATTACCTTTTTCTGGGCACCCAAGCAGCTCATAAAAGAAGGAGGGTAACCTTGGTAGACCAAGAAAGCGCTGAACCAATTTGTCTACTGGTTACACTAAAGCGTCTTGCAATTTTGCTTCAGTGACTGGATCGAAGCTTAAAGAGGCTTCGGAGTACATGAGCCATGGTCTAAACTCCTGAAAGGGGTTATATAGGGAATTGTAGGGGAGTAGTATAGGGGAAATTAAGGGAGATACTATGAGTTTGGACTATAGCTCACATAACTGATGCTTCTGCAAAACCAAACCATCAAATCAATTCATGACGATGGCCCTGTGATCTGGCCATTCAAAGTGCCCTATAATAATGGTAATATAATTGTATAGTAATATAGCAATAAAGTAATGTAGTAACATAGTGTTACTGGTCAAGGCAGCAATAGTATGAATATTGTATTGGGGCATCCCAGCTGAGCTTGAAGACTCATGAAAGTAGTGGTTCTGCTCAGCAATTTTTCTGCTTAGTTACGATGTGGATAGATTGGGAAATCAGCGCCGCAAGCGAATTCATCAAATTGTTGGATCTGCTCTGGCAATTCAGTTACCTAGGTTGCTGAATTAAATTAGCTTGATATCTTGGACTCAGCGACTGGAGAGATTTAGGCTAGAGCCGTAGCCTGACTGTTTTCTGATGAGACAAGCACCTGCAGAGGTGTTTGCAGCTATGCTCATACATGCAACTGTGATTGGAAGGCACCGGTACATGTGAGCATAGCACATATTCCCTGCGACGCATGTCCTGGGATGTTCTCAGGAGTCTTTGCGGAAGCCTTTGAGCAAGCTACCAGCATCGCCAGGCTGGAGCAGGGAGTTTACTCCATGGCTAGTACGCAATGATGTTGAGTGCCCATTGCATTGTGGTTCCTGTATTTCTGCTTGAGGGACCTAACCCGATGGGGCACCTTTATCATAGAGGGCAAAAGAATTGGGGACCTTTTCCATATGTGGGTATATGCAGAACGGGTACTACCACATCCCGAATACTATCTACTTCGTTCATGTTACAACCAGTGAAAACATGATTTCGAGAGGCTGAAGCTGCAGCTAGCAAATTCTGGTGCTTCTCTATGCAGCTACAGCGGAAAGTCCTGCGCCCTCCGTGTCCGCAGTAGCCTGCCACAAGAGCCGCCAAACACAGGGACCCAGATAATGAAAGCAACTTTTTATACACACGAAAAATGTCTCACAAGGAATATGCCTCAGCCTCTTCAGGTCCATGTAATCCCTAAATTCTGCAAAACACCTATGTTGTTCCTAGATTCCATGTCGGGTCTCATCTCATTCTCCAGTCTTCTAAGTATTTAGATACCGAGGGAAACCTGCCTGGGGTTCTATTGGAGTTCTATGAGAATTATATAGGGGGCATGTTTGCGTTGAATAGGCGATCTCCCCACCCCACCCCCGGAATCGCCACCGGACTTCACCTGCTGAGTCTGATCTAAAGTGAAGGATCTTGACCCTAGCCTTGCATCATGACATGGAGCTTCTCAGGTTTTGCCATCCCCAGACACATGGCTTTCCGTCCTCTAAATGTTACTTTGCAAAACAGACTGGCTCAGCTCCTCCTGGCCTTTTGTGAACAAGTTTGGGGGATCTCATGTCACTCATGTAGGCACCCAGAGGAAAACCCTTTTCCAGGCCTGGAAAAGATGCGATCGCAGCTACGGAACATGTCGAAGGCAAGGCGATCTTAAAGTAAAGTGCGTAGCCATGTTCTGCAATATACCCGTTGTACTTCAACATGCAGTTTCCAAGAGTCTTTTGGGTTTTCAGGCACCTGCTTGCTGCAGTTTGAAGCTCAAGCATTCAAAAAGCCGTGGCGAGATGGCTTGGGTAGACATGGTTATGAAGCATGGCTTTGGCTCAGTTGGGCATGCCAGCTGCTTCGGGAAAGGGAACCGCGCGACCTTGGCGCAAGAAATCCTAGGTTCTTGCTGAGCTTGCGCTTTGCAAGTCCTTTCATTTGTACGGTTTCGCTTTCAACCCTTCCTCCAGAGCGCCCTGCGCCGCCTTCGCCGTGTAATGCGTTCATCTTAATGCATCTGCGTCTCCATCCATGAGGACAGATACGTGAGGCTGGCAAGAGTGTCTTTGCCGCAGTGAGAAAACTCCCTTCGAAGCCTCCGGGTCACAAGGTGTTTTATGAGCTGCCGCAGCTCTGGCAGCTCTGGCAGCTCCGTCTGCATCTGCAGCCTTCCACATGTGTAGTCTCAAACTCGGCAAGTTCCAGCTGCGCACTTGCAGCTGCGCACTCATGCTGCCACGTCCGCATGGCCAGGCGCGTGTGAGCGCCACCAACAA